CCAGGAAACTCCTGCCACACACTGCACGGGCCGTTGTTAGGTTAAGCCACACTGAAGTCCCCATCCCTCTCTCGTGCACGCGCACGTCGCACAGAAGCACGCACAGATGCGCACACACACAGGCACACGCCAGCTCGGGGTGAAAAAAGCTGGGCTGAAGGTGGGTTACTGCGCGCGTGCACCTGCTCTGCGATGATGATCTTCTCTTAAGATACGGCTTGTGTGCCGGCCCGTTTATTTGCATCGCTCACTCAGGACAGACGTGGGATAATCACAGCGATAAGCTATGTGGGGCACCACGTTCAACTGCCCAACAGATACACATCAACTACTTTTTAATCACGGCAAGAAGAGCGCAAGACCTCCTATCACACAGGACTTCAGTTGTGCCGCAGAACAACAGCCGAGCGTGTTTTACCTCTGCAGCTTTATTCTTGTACAAAAGGTTAAAGGCGAAGCTAGAAAAACGAAGCTATTGGTACACGCTCACCGAACGCTTTTAAGACAAGATAGGGCAGTAAAGCTGTTATTGCTAAGAAGAACCAACGGGAGGCTTTAAAGCTTACCTAGCATTCAATTTTTGTTTGTAAGTAACCCAATTTAAAGCAGCTTTTTAGTCTTTGAAACCCTCTCGCCTTTCTGGAATGCTTCAAAAGGAAAAAGACCTGAGGATGGTGTCTGCTCTCCAGAGAGATCAGACGGACGTTCTGCATGAGATGCAGAAACAGGCCACGGACAAATGCCAAAACGAAACTCAGCTGCCTGGCTGTGGCCTCCTGCTCCTCACCAGACAAGACAAGGCTGCGCAGCGCCCATGGCCCCAGCACCCTGCCATGTGCAAAAGAAGTGGTCGCCTGAAGGCCCTCGGCTGTCCCCATGCCCCGGTGGCTGTAGCACAGACGGGCACCTTGGGCTTGCCCCAAGCAGAGAGCCGGGAGCTGAGCCCAGGCACAGTGACTGTGAATGTCCTGAATGTCCTGCTCCAACTGCCAGACTGTGCTTTCTCCTGGAGGGGTAAGGCTACAGACAGTGGGACACTGAACACTCCTGAGATCCCTAGGGATCCCCCCAGGATGCAACAGATCAGGGCTGGCCACCCTTCCTGAGGGAAGCCACTCTGGCTTTGCAGGGCTTACTGCAGTCAGAGCTGCTTCCGGGGGCAGCGGGTGCCCTAGTCTTCAGGGATTGGGGTGTTGCAGTTCCCATGGTAAATTTTGACCTCACCCTCACACTGGAAGTACTGGTCGAATACATCACTGTATCCATGGTCCCTCCACCATGTGCAGAGCTGCCGGTTCCATGTGCAGTCAAGCACATGGAAGAGCTCTGGGTGCTCCATCCCCACCATGGTGAAGAAATCCTGGTCCCCGAGGTGGCCCTTGAAGTGGTACTTCTCTGTCAGCTTCTGCACCATGGTGGGCTCCAGCAGCTGGTTGTAGAGCTTGGATTGCCTCATGGCTTCCAGGTTGAGGAGCAGGACGCCACTGTTGAAGCCAGGTAGCCCATCGGGAGGGGGGTCCCCCACTTTGGTTTGGGGGTTCTCGCGGCGATACTGCCAGAAAGTGTGCCTGCAAAGAGAGGAAAAACGGGAACAGGGGAGTCAGGGAGCGCAGCCTGAATAGCAGCCACCTCAAGTCTGGGCAGGTCTGGACCACAGCACAGGATCTACCACCCATCCAAGACATCTCCCAGTGCTTGTCTTCTGCTGTCTGGAGGCACTCAGCCTTCCAGAGCAGCCTGGTGCTTCACCGGCTGCGGTTCTCTCCATCCCCCTGCACAGGATACTGCCCAGACCTCAAACCACTCTTCTTGCTTGCTCCTTAAGCCCCTTTGGTTTCTACCAGCATCGCTCTGGTGAGCCAACAGGACAGAGGATTGTGTGACTGCTCACATGGCTGTGCGGGGAGATGAAATCACATCCCCAGGGCCTGGGGTGAAGCTCCAGAAGTGGCTCCACGGCTGGTACATGCCAGGAAAATGTCCTGCAGTTAATGGGATCTCAGCAGCAGAGCTCATAGCTTCATTACTATTATTATTATTTGATTAGGGGGAAGCTCCGGATCAAAGATTGGCCCCAGTTTGAGGCTGTGTAAAAAGAAGGCTTGAAATAAATTCGAATGGCGGAAGTACTTCTTCAAAATAAAAATAATAAAAAAAGAAATCCAATGGCAACATCTCATTAGCTAAATAAGCGCTGCCTTCAGCAACTGCAGCCCTAGAAAGGCTCAGCTGTAGCAGCTCTGGCAGACACCATCTTTACCAGCTAATTTCCAGCTGCCAAGGAGAAGAGAGCGGTGAGAGTCTAGCAACACACAAAACCAACTCCAGAGGGTGATTCAAATGGGAAGAATTTAGACTACCTAAGCAAGCAGCCCAAAAATGTCTTTGGCTCCTTCCTCAGCCCTGGGGTGGTGAGCACACCCCACCATACACACACCACTGCTCTCACTTGCAGGAATTGAATTCATCCGTGCTCTTATCCAAGCAGCTGGGCTTGAATCCACCCCCCAAAATCACTCCCATTCAGTCTGAAAGTCTTCTGCCTCCAGGCAGCATCCTCTGCTGCAAAGCCCGGGAGCTGAGAGCTGGCTGAGCCTGCAGTCTGGGGGAGGGCAGGAGGGACCTGCGGCCCCCACCCCACCGTCTGACAGCCTGGGGATCCCAGCATTGTGCTCTCCTTTCAGCCCCAACACTTAAGGCAAAGCTACAGAGGTTTGTTTTTTTTGCAATTTGCTGTGAAGATATTGAGGAGAAACACTGTTAGAAAGAATAAGCCAAGACTGCCACTGATTCCTCTCTGAATCTGTGAGACGCCTCTCTGTGCACCTCCAGGAAACAAGAATTTGGTAGATGGTGTGGATTTAGTACCCAAAGGTTTAAAGTGGTCCCATGTTTGGAAGCTGAAGCTGGGCTAATTCAGACACAAGAAGATGCAAGGACATTAGCCCTTGGGACAGCTCCGGAGTCACAGTGGCTACTGCTCCTCTGCAAACACTTAAATTGAAATTTTTCATGTAAGAAGCTGTATTCAGCTCCAACGAGCACTAGCTCAGGGAATCCTACGGCTTGTGCAGAGATCAGACTATTAAATCCATCCTTCTGGCCTGTCCTCTGGATCCCCTGGATCCCGAGAGGAGCCTGGACAGCGCAGGACTGCGAGGAGCCTTACCAGGCGAGAGTAGCCAAGGTGAGAGCCAGGATTCAGCAGCCACCAGCAGAATTATCCCAGCAGAAAATGCAGGTCTATTAATAATGTCAACCGTGATCACCTTTTTTATTTCCTGATCCGGAGAACCACAACCACCATGCAGTCTCACCTCCTTAAAATTTTCCATTTAGATGCTTCAGATTCAAACCTCTGAAATTTCTCATTTCATTAAGGGTCTTTACACCGCTTGCTTTTGCCTGATTCGGGACAGAAAGGGTTTTTCCAAGTGCCAGTTTCCCATGGAAGGAAGGCTCAGCTTTTGAGCAGCCATCTCCACGCCTCCTGGGAAAGGGGAGCGGAGGACTGGCCGCCTCATCGGAGCCTGCGGGCAGCAACGCTCGTTTGATCTAAAGGGCAGGGAAGAGATAAAAGGGCTCTGCCCATGCAAAGAGCAGTTATGTCTTGAGGACAGGCACCAGGCCACTGCAGAGACGACTTGTGGATGCTCACAGGAAAAGGAAGGCAAAGTGCTCTCCATGCAGCATTAGAAGGAAGCTCAACCTGCAAAGACAAGACCCAGCCTTGCAGTGATGGGTCTCCTGAGGTGCTCAGGTCCCGGGGTCTGAGCAGAGGCTGGCTCAAGCCCACCTCTGCATACTCTGCTCTCTCTGCTTCTCCCTAGCAGTGCCGAGAAAGACATCCCTGTGCCCCAAAAGTGATGCTGGAAGCTGGCAGGCGGGAGGTGGAGAGCAGTGTCACAGAGGGAGGCATCTTTCCAGCTCCATAGCAGTGGGGCCAACTCCTTTCACATTCTTGCCTCCAAAAACATCCTGCCCAAGCCAAGGGATGAGATGACAGCCCCTGCAAGCAGCGACAACAGGAAAAATGAAAGTGCCCAAACCCTTGGCATCGCCAGGCCACACCAGGGCAAAAGCAGGTCTGTGTCAAATGACTCAATTTTTCAGCAAAGCCATTCCCCAACAGATTACTCGGTGATGGCTGATAAGGAGAAGGGAACAACGTGCCCTTTTCTGCACGGAGAGGAGACAGACCGACAAGCAGCAATTGTTCAGCCCTTCCTCCTGGCGCTGGCATGACGGAACGATCCTCCCCCGGCCACGCACAAGGACCGCAGGGGAGCGGGGCCGGGGGGAGGACAGGGCTGTCCTCGGGGAGCAGTGCTGGGGCGAGATCCAGGATGCGACGAGCTGTGGAGTGCTGACAGCTCGGGAACCTGCTCGCAGCACCGTGACACAGCCCTTCCAGTGCTGGGCTCGGGCCAACTGAGGAAAAGGTGTTCTAGCAGGGCCACCGGCAGCATCTGTTCAGCCTGGGTTTCACTCAGCTTTTGGCCTTCTAACTGTAACTTTCAGCTCCCTCCTTCTCCAAGGGCTGGGACAGATAAGAGCGTGGTCGACAGGCACCTCCACTCACCTGGAAGAGGAAGGAGCTGCAGGTACGAGAGCATCACTTTCTTCAGAGGAAACAGGGCCGGGCAAACACAGCAACCAGCTGAATGGCTAACCCAGCCTGCACCCCGTGCTGCTCTGCCCTGCCCGCCATCGCCCTTGGCCCCCACCTCAAATTCTGGCAAAATGGGGGAAAATTGCGGGGGCTTGATGAGCGCACTGTCAGGATCCGGGGAGGGGCTGGGCTGCCAGGGGTGCAGCCCCCCTCCAAGGCAATCACTTTCCTCTAAGGAACTGAAACCCTGGTTGGATGCAGTGGAAATGTCTCCCTCCTCCAAGCCTCTGGAATCTCCCTTGGACCAGGAGGTTCAGGGAGGGCCGCCCACCTCGGCTCCAGGTGCCCTGCTCCCCGCTCCCCCAGCAGTGAAAGCCAGGGCAGGAAGGCAGCCCGGAGATGCCGGCCACCGCCGGGATGCAACGGGGCAGGAAGCTGCTGGCGGAAGGAGGGGAGGAGAAAGGAAGAGGAGGCATTGCAGGCTTTTGTTAACCACGCTGGCCCCTCTAGACGGGAGGGGAGAGAGGTGACCCTGGGCCCCCGACTCCACAGTGGGCGCGGGGGAGCTGTGTGGGGCCGCTGCCGCAAGCGCCCGCCCGCAGCCCTGACGGGCTTTGCTTTGAGGAGCTGTTTATAAACAGAGCCGGCGTGTGCTAGGAAACATCTGGAGAAGAGCATTTCCAAGCATTCAAACGCGGGGCCCAGGCAGCCCAGATAAAAACTCCTGCTTCCACCAGGACTTCCCCTGCTGGCCCAGCGCAGGGCACTCCGGCCACACCTCCCTGCCTCGCCGGATGGTGGTCACGAGCCCCGGGCTTGCAGAGCTGCCATCGCATGCTCAAAACGCCTTGCTGGGAACAGCTGCCAGGAGAGAAGGGACCTCCACCTATCAGCTGTATTTTGCAGGTCCTTCTTTTGCTTTCATGCACAGCAAGGGGCAAATCCTGGGGTGGGTTTGGACAAAGTCTTCCCCCATGAACTTCCACTCGTTTACTTCAGTTCTGGGTTATGGGACAATCATGGGATGAGCTGGAAACTGCTGGTAAAGCAGCAGGGTGCCCCTGCTGGCAGGAAAGGCAACATGGAGGAGTTACTGCCATGGCCGCACAGGCAGTGGACTGGGCTTGTGCGCCTGTACCCACCTGAGATGTTCAAGAGGATGCAACCTTGCCACACCAGCTGCACGGCCACCGCTGGCCTTGCTGATGAGGATGCGGATCCTGGCCATGCAGCTGCATCTCCAGAAATGCAGACAGCCTGCAGGATCCCCTCCAGGCACTGCAGCCAGGGAAAGGAGGAGCCAGGTCAGAAAAAAGTGAAGTGAAACCAGATGCTGGGCCGACCCCAGGGCTGCTGCGGTCAGAGGATGCTTCTGGAAGGGTGCAGGGTCTCCGAAAGCCACCATGCACGTGCATTGCACCAGCCTGAGCAGCATGGTACCTCGGCAGGGAGGATGCACGACCTGTCCCTCACCAAAGGGGAAAGTGAAGCCAACAGCCACAGGATAAACCCACAAAAATAAGGGGTCTGTAAGATTCTGGATGCAATAAGCATCCTCGGACCAGTAAACTCCTTGCTGGGGCTCACCAGTTTGCTCCCACCTCTTGCCAGCGCTGGCAGAGTTTGGGCCAGCTGCCTGGGAGGGCAGGGCAGGCAGCAGTGGCAAGCCAGCACCTCGGATACGCTTTGTCACCAAGCTGCTCCTGCGAGGGTCAGGGGCTGGGGGACCTCGAGCCCCATACCCAGCCAGCTGGGCACAGAGCTCCTGGCGCAGAAGGGAAGCACGGGCTGCTGTCCCTCTCCGTGCCACTGTGACAGCAGCCCTGCCAGCCCAAACACCAACAAAAACAACAAGCGCACACTCTTGCTACTTCTGAGTATGCTTTTTGGTCCCTGACCCAGAAAGCAGACACTGGCAGCGTTATCCCCAGCAGCAGCTGCTGGCAAACACCGCTG